GGAGAGAAAGAAAAAACAGGGAGCAGAGGCAGGGCAGCAAGATGAGGCCTCATGGGGATTTTTTTCACTGCTTAGAGTAAATAAAAATAACATTTCTCAAACAAACAAAGCACACCCAATTCTACATTTAAAAAATAATATTGATGACCAAAGAAACAGTGTATGAGTCAGAACCTGAGAGGAAGGCGTGGGTTACTTAAAAACTAGTTTTAGGGCTATACATCTTTTTTTCCATTCACACATTATCTTAATGTTTCCCAACAGTAGAGGATTATACTGTAAACCAGTGCTTCTCAGGCTAATGGGCATCTGACTTAACAGAGGATTGTGTAAAAATGCAGATTCTGATGGAGTAGGTCTGAGGTGGGGCTGACAGTCTGCATTTCTAACAAACTACCAGGTGATGGTGATGCTGCAGATCTGTGGACCACACTGAATTAGCTAATAGTCATATGTTTTTTGAATGTATTTCTGCCACCAAAATAACAAGTGGCAGGAGGAAGGTAGCTCATCCTACTTTTTCTTACCATATAAAATTTGAATACTAGAATAGGCCATGAATTCTCAATGGATGTAATATTGCCCCCAAGGGGAAGAAAATTATTTTACTGAAGGTAAAAAGCTTAAACAGATATATACTACAGTTGACCCTTGAACAGCAGGGGTTTGAACTGCGTGGGTCTACTTATACATGGATTTTTTTCTGATAAATATAGTACTGTAAATGTATTTTCTATTCCTTATGGGTTTTTAAAAAAGATTTTATTTATTTATTCATGAAAGACACAGAGAGAGAAAGAGGCAGAGACATAGGCAGAGGGAGAAGCAGGCTCCATGCAAGAAGCCCTTCGTGGGACTCGATCTGGAACTCCAGGATCATGCCCTGGGCCAAAGACAGGTGCTAAACCACTGAGCCACCCAGGCAACCCCCTTTTATGGTTTTCTTAATAACATTTTCTTTTCTCTAGCTTCCTTCATTGTAAGAATATATAATACATGTAACATACAACATCTGTGTTAATATACTGTTTATGTTCTCCATAAGGCTTCTGGTCAAAAGTAGGCTTTAAAGAGTTAAGTTTTTGAAGAATCAAAAGTTATATGCAGGTCTTTGACTATGTGAGGGGTTCAAAGGTCAACTATATATCAGTGATATTAAAATGTCATGGGGGCGGTGTCTGGCTGGCTCAGTTGGTAGAGCATGCCACTCTTGATCTCAGGGTTGTGAGTTTAGGTTCCACACTGGGTATGGAGATTCCGTAAGTGAAAATGTCAGGAGAGGCCACAGGAAAAATGTGTAAGAAAGCTATTTGGGGAAGGTATAAAACCACTGCTCTAAACTATTATAAAGTCTCATGAAACTGGCACAAGTAAAAATCAACCAGACTGCCTGTTTATAAATACTCAGTTACCAACATTTGGGATACCTGTTATATGTTACTACCTGGATTCTCAAATTCTCATTGACAGTAATGATGGAAATTTTTTATTGTAGAAGATGTTGGGTTGAATTTTCCAGCTTATCAAGCATCTAAATATTGTGGGTTGCAAAGGAAGGAGACGAGAATAAAATAAATATGTTATGATTACCAGAGATGATTCATGCCAACAGGAACATTAACCTGAGTTGAATAAAAAACAATCAGATTACAAATAAATGAAAGATTTAAAACTGGAATTGCAAATACACTCCCTTTTCCTGATGTTTTCAATGCTCACTACCTTCTAAATGCATTTCTGAATACTCCTATTTTATGTGTAATTATTTTTCTAAAAATGAGGTAATGAGTCTTCTTAGCTACATACTTGATGCAGAAAATGTGTCCTAATTAAAAACACATAATTCCACTTAACTATGGATGTACACCAAACTACCTTCCATGCCCAGGTGGCTGCATGGACCCTTCTGCTAAGTTAGGGAGCCTAGCGAAGACAACTGTTGTTATCTCCATGTGAAATAAAATGCAAAATCATCCAAATCTGGGCCAGAACCAGTCCCATGAGGGTCAGAGTGTGAAGGCCACTCCCAATAACAAATACTGACCTCATTGAGTGTACTCATTAGTATGCTGAATGCCAATGCTTTAAGTGTCCCCAAGTGCTGCAAGGTATTATAATTATTCTAATTTTTCATGATTAATTAGAAGCATGAGGTGCAAAGAAACTAATACAAGTCAAGCGCTAAGAAGTGAACATCAGGGATTTGAACAAAGGCAGCTTAGCTCTGGAGCTGTGCCAACTCATTGGCAGTTCATGCTGGTTGTATCCAACTAATTTGGGGTGGCTTTAGATGGTCAGGACCCAGCTGGCTTCCTCTCCAGGGCATGTCAAGGTTGATTGGAAGAGGCAGGCAAGTGTCATGACCAAGGGACTAGGAATAAAGTATCCTGTCAAAAGGCCAACCAGATTAGTCAAGAATTTTTTTTTCTTAAAAAACAGCTTTATGAAGATATGTCAAATGCTATACAATTCACCCACTTAAAGTGTAAATTCAATGTTATTCAGTATATTTGCAGAGATGTGAAACCATCATCATGTTTTTTTAAAAAACAGGATTTATTTATTTATTTTAGGAAGAAGGGGGTAGGGCAGGGAGAAAGAATCCTGAAGCTGACTCCCCACTGAGCACAGAGTCCACAAAGGCTCATTCCTTCCATGACCTGAGCCGAAATCAAAAGTTGGCCACTCAACTGACTGAACCACCCAGGAGCCCCAACCATCACCATATCTCATTTTAGAACATCTTAGTCTCTCCTAAGAGAAACCTAGGACACATTAGCATGCACCCCCCACTCCCAACCTCCTTCCCCCAGTCCTAATCAACCACTAACCACCTTCTGCCTGTAAATAGTTTCCTATTTTGAAACACTTAATATAAATTGAACTCTACACTGTGTGATCTTTTGTGATGGGCTTCTTTCATTTAGCACAATGTTTTCTGGACTCAACCATGTTGTATTATGTATCAGTATTTTATTCCTTTTCACTGATGAATAATATTTTGTTGTATGGATTCACTACATTTTATTTTTCATCCATTAGTTGATGGACATTTGGGTTGTTTCCACCTTTTGGCTGTTATGACGGATGCTGCTATGAATATTCAGGTACAACTTTTTGTGTGGATGTATGTTTTCATTTCTCTTGGTGAATGTCTAAGAATTGAAGTGCTAGGTTGCATGATAACTGTCCGTTTAACATTTTGAGGCACCGCCAGACTGTTTTTCAAAGCCCCTGGACCACTTTACATTCTTATTAGCGTGTGTGAGAGTTCCAGGGTCTCCGGATCCTCCTCAGCACTTGTTAATGACTGCTTTTTTTATTATTATTATTATAGCCAACCTACTGGGTGTGAAGTAATACCTCATTTGGTTTAGACGTTAATGATGTTGAGCATCTTCTTGCTTTTCATGCCTGCTGGCTATTTTGTATATCTTCTTTGATAAATGTCTATTCAAATGCTTTGCTAACTTTTAGTTTAGATTAGTTGTCTCTTTTTTGTTATTGAGTTGTGTTTTTCATATATTCTGGACACAAGTTTCTTGTCAGATATATGATTTACAAAGTTTTTTCCCAGTCTATGGAAATCTGTTTACTTTCTTGATATGTGCACAAAGTTTGATGTAGTACAATTTCTTTTTTTCTTTTTTTACTTATTTTTTTAAAGCTAAGAAACCGCTGCTTAACTCAAGGTCAGAATGATTTACTCTTATATTTTTCTTCTTACAGTTTTGTAGTTTTAGCTCTTTCATTTGCGTTGGTAATTCCTTTTCACTTAACTTTTTGTATATGTTGTGAGGTAGTCATATAACTTTTCTGTATGTTGTCTGGTTTGAGAGGTATATCTTGGTAAATAAATCCCATTCTTTGCATGTGGATATCCAGTTGTGCCAACATCATTAATTGAAAATATTATTCTTTCCCTTTGATGATTTGGTATATTTGTCAAAGATTGATTGCCCATGTATGTAAAGGTTTATTTTTGGACTCTCAATTTTTCTACCACTCTATATGTCCATCTCTAAGTCAGTGCCACATTGTCTTTTTTTTTTTTTAAAGATTTTATTTAGGGCATCTGGGTGGCTCAGTCAGTTAAGCATCTGCCTTCAGCTCAGGTTATGATCCCAGAGTCCTGGGATCAAGCCCCACGTCTGGCTCCCTGCTCAGTGGGCAGTCTACTTCTCCCTCCGCCCTTTCCCTGCTCATGCTCTCTCTTTCTCTCAAATAAATAAGTAAAATCATTTAGCCAAAGGCAGATGCTTAACTGACTGAGCTACGCAGGCACCCCTCAGTGCCATATTGTCTCAATTACCATAGATTTGTAGTTAGTTTTGAAATCAGGGAGTCTTCTAACGTTATTCTTCTTTTTCAAAATTGTTTTGTTATTCTGGGTTCTTTGCAATTCTCTATGAATTTTAGAATCAGCTTGTCAATTCCTTCAAAAGCCAGCTGGGATTTTGATAGGGATTATATTGTATCTACAAGTCAATTTGGGGTGTATTACCATCTCGACAATATCAAGTCTTTTGATTCATGAAGATAGGATATCATCTCATTTTTTTGAGCTCTTTAGTTTCAGTGATGTTTTAGTTTTCAGTGTGCAAGTTTTACACTTCTTTTACTAAATTTACACTAATTTATTCTTTTTGATGCTATTGTAAATGGAATTGTTTTCTTAATTTTATTTTCAGAATTTTCAGTGCTAGTCTAAGAAATATTGATTTTTTAATGTTTATCTTGCATCCTGTAACCTTCCTGTACTCTTATTAGTTCTAATTTTTTTAGTGGATTCCTTAGGATTTTCTATGTACAATATGGTGTCATCCACAAATAGAGATAGTTTTGCTTCTTTTCCTTTCTTTTTCTTTCTTTCTCTCTCCCTTCCTTCCTTCCTTCCTTCCTTCCTTCCTTCCTTTCTTTCTTTCTTTCTTTCTTTCTTTCTTTCTTTCTTTCTTTCTTTCTTCTTATTTTTCAATCCAGATACTTTCTCTTCCTTCTTTCTTTCGGTGGAATGTTTTGTGAATTTACATCTCATCCTTGTGCAGGGGCCATGCTAATCTTCTTTGTATTGTTCCAATTTTAGTATATGTGCTGCTGAAGTGAGCACTTTTTATTTCTTTTCCTTGCCTAATTGTCTTGAATATGACCTCCAGTACAACGTTAAACAAAAGTGAAAGAGTGGACATTCTTTTCTTTCTTGTTTCTGATTTAAGAGAAAGTATTTAGTCTTTCTCCATCATGTATGATGTTAGCTGTGGAGAGTTTATTAAATTCCCTTCTATTCCTAGTTTGTTGGGTGTTTTTATCAAGAAAAGATGCTGGATTTTATCAAATACCTTTCCTGTATCTGTTGAGATTATCATGTGTTTTTTTTTGTTATTTATTCTGTATATAGTTTTTACATTGATTGATATTCATATGTTATACCACCCTTGGATTTCTGAGATAAATCCCATTTGGTCCTGGTATGTAATCTTTCTATATGTTGCTGGGTTTAGTTTGCTAGTATTTTGCTGAAGATTTTTTGCATCTATATTCATACGGGATTTTGGTCTATAGTTTGTTTTTTTTTTCTTGTGATATATTTTTTTCTAGTCTTGGTACCAGAATAATTCTGGCCTCATAAAATGAATTTAAAAGTGTTCCTGCCACTCCTGTATTTTGTAAGAGTTTGCAACGAATTAGGATTAATTTCCTTCAAATATTCAGTAGATTTCACCAGTAAAGTCATGTGAACTTTGTTTTATATTGGTAGGAAATTTAAAAATGACTAATTTTATCTCTTACCTTGTTATAGGCCTGAATATTCAGATTTTTAAATTTTTTCCTTGAGTCAGTTTTGGTAGTTTGTGTCTTTCTAGGAATTGGTTCATTTCATCTAAATTATCTGATTTTTGGCATGTAGTCGTTCATAGCTTTCCTTATAATCAATTTTATTACTACAAAATTGGTAGTAATGTTCCTCTTCTATTCCTGATTTTAGTAATTTGTATTTTCTCTCTTTTTTCTTGGTCAGTTTAGCTAACCAAGAAAAAAGAATCTTTTTGAATAACTGACTTTTGGATTCATTGATTTTCTCTATTTTTTTTTTCTGTTCTCTGTTTCACCGATCTCTGCTCTAATCTACATTATTTCCCACCTTTTGCTAGTTTGGGGTTTAGTTTGATCTTATCCTAGTTCCTTAAGGTATAATGTGAGCTATTGCTTTGAAAACCTTTTTTAATGTAGGCATTTACAGATGTACATTTAGGAAAGAATGTGGACTTTTTTTTTTGGTATGAAGAATATCTAATAGTTTGATAATAGCTTACCAGTGAGATTTAATTATAATTTTACTTGGATGCCTTTGCTTGGCTTCCAAATCTGTGCCAGAGAAGCAACCAAAACAAACAAGTTAAATACATAAACTCCAGGGAGCTTTTGTTTTAGTAGTGACAATTATTCAGAGTTTCTATAATTTTTAATTTTGAAGGGTAATTGACTTGGTAACAATTGTGAACCATTATCAAGCCTGTCACGTGTAGTCAGTCTGCAGTCTGAGAAATTGTTACTGGCATTTGCAAGCATTGCAGAAATTTAATAAACTGTCGCCAAACCATTTGCTTGTTTCAATGCCAAGGTTTCCTTCCCCACATCACATGCGGCGTCCTGCTGCCAACAGTTATCAAAATACTCCCACAGTTGTCACAGAGAGAACTGTAGGGAGTTTCTGATTCTTTATTCTTGTCGTTCCTATGTTTCATTGCCTTTGCCACTTCTTGGGGGATCTATTTGAATAACCTGTATACTGTCAGTATATGGGGCAGTTGAGTATTACAGAATGGATTGAGAAACTAAGAATATCTGAGATATAGGTATAGAAATATAGAGATATAGAGCACAGTGAGATTGGGAAGATGACCCATGCTTTACTCTCTGTGTTTGAATTTTTATGGAGAGACTATGTTGTTTGTGTAATGTAAATCAGCCATAAAAACTGTAAAACGATTTGAGAGGAAATCTAGAGGAAAACACTAATAAAAGTCTGGATAGATCAACTCATTTTAATTGAAGATATGCAATTAGATGATCAAGGTTTTATAATAGGTTTGAGAGATATAATCCAGCCCTTTGAAACAAAGATTGACAAGAAATTACTGGCTCTATTTGTATTTTCTCTGATGAATCCAATAGATAAATGCCAGGCCAAGTTAAAAAAGGTCTTGCATATGAAATGGGGAAGGTGAAAGATTAGAGAGTGTGACCTTGGACCTCATTCACCAAGTCAAAGATGCATGACAATGTGGCCTTTTACCACTGTGACAATATTTGCAATTCTCATTTGGAATAAACATATCTCTGCTTTGTCTTGTTCGTTAATGGCTTTGATGGAAACTTTGGCAGCACCTATCGAAATTCAAATACATATACCCTTGATCAAACAATTCCGTGACTATGAATCTCTTCTGAAGAAATACCCAGTGCACAGATTTTAGATAGACCTATGCTCATCACAGCAAAATGTTTCAAATATCCTAAGGGCACATCAAAGAGAGTATAGTTAAGTAAACTATGGTCCAACTATCCCCAGGTCATAGGGCTCAGAAGTGGAGATCTGGGATCTAACAGAGGTTTTTACTTCTTCACAATACTACATCTCATGAGTTAGTCAGTAGGTGTGGGTGTTTTTTGGGTATTCAGGATTGAGCTTGTGTGTTCTCCCAGGGCAGGTCAAGATTGGATGGAGGGGAGAGGAGGGAGGACAGGCCAGTGTCATAGCCAAGGAGTAAAGAATAAAACAGGGAAACTCAAGAGCTTAAAAGAACAATAAAAAGTGGGGGGAAAAAAGAAGTTATGTGTAATTATATACAGTGGGAAAGGGATTCTGGAAGAAAGTATTTTGTTTCACCAAAAAAGCATCATCTTGGCCAATTTTCACCCCACTTCCCATTTTCACTCGCCACGAACCCCACTCCCCATTTTCACTCGCCACGAAGACTCTAAGTAAACTTGAGGGTACTCTCATAAGTTTTCTCAGCCTCAAATAGGAGGGAGGACCAAGGAGGAGCTTACTTCTGAAGAATATATCTGCCTTTTTTCATCAAAGAAAATCCACATCAACATGTGTTCGAGGGATTAGTACATCTTTGAAATCCTAAACAAATGGGAAGAGGATTCTTGCATGGTTCACAGAACTATGAAATGAAGGGTTTGGTGTGGATGCCGCAGGGTGGGATGATTCAGAGGATTTTAAGGAGCGCATGCCAATTTCAGGAGTCCTGGCATTTTCCACATGCCCTGGTGTTTCCAATGGTCCCAGATGCTACCCTAGCATTCTGTATGACTGTGAGCCAAATACTAGCCTTTCTGTAAATCATCTTCTCTATCTAGTAAATGAGATGAGTGGAATAAGTGGTCCATACTCTCTCTTCACCTTGTGATTTAATTTACAGTTTTCAAGCCTTACTGAATCATTAGTGGTTTTTTTTTTAAAGATTTTATTTATTTATTCAACAGAGAGAGTTCAGGTAGGCAGAGCTGTGCGGATGGGGAGAAGCAAGCTCCCCGCAAAGCAGGGAACCCAAACTAAACATTACTTGGTATTTATTAATGAAGGTTAGAAACAAAACATTTACTTTCCTAATACAATTCTTTCTTTTTTTAATATTTATTTATTCATGAGAGACAGAGAGAGAGAAAGGGAGAGAGAGAGAGGCAGAGACACAGGCAGAGGGAGAAGCAGGCTCCATGCAGGGAACCTGATGTGGGACTCGATCCTGGGACTCCAGATCATGCCCTGGGCTGAAGTCAGGCGCTAAACCCCTGAGCCACCCAGGGATCTCCTCCTAACACAATTCTTACACATGCACACATTTATAAAATGAAATAGAAAATATTACCTAAGAAGAAACTCTATGCTTTGGTAATCTATATTCTTGGTTCTCTCTTTTTTACTAATAAGAAAGAACTGATAACATTTTATTATGGTGTAAGGAAGAAAAGAATAGTTTAAAGGAGGAATGCTAGCAGAAGTGGATGATATGTACATTTTCTGAAAAGCTTTTTTTTTTAATTTTTAAGTAATCTTTAAACTCAGTGTGGGGCTTAAACTTGCAACCCTGAGATCAAGAGTTGCATGCTCCACTGATGGAGCCAACCAGGTGCCCCATATGTACATTTTTATATTCAACTGAATTTTATTTCTCCAGAAGCCCACTGACACACACACACACACACACACACACACACACACACACACACACACTCCGCTGCTACCTTAGCCATTAAGGAGTTAGTAAGGAATGATGTTGAAGTGTAGGTACCATTTTGCTCCATGGTACCACACTAACAGAAAGGAAAGCCTTGGGTTGCACCGGCTTTTCCTTCTATTCTTATCATCTTAGGAGTTGTGTGTTTGTCTGCACCTTTCAGGCCAGGTGGAAGTAGAGGGTGTTGAGTCTTGTTGGAGATCATTGCTAGAAATGCTTGTGTGTGTTTATTGTGTAGTAAATGCAAAATGCATAGTAAGTGCTTCTTTAATTATTTGATTTCTTAAATACAGCCTATTTCAAATGCTTCATAGATCTCCAAATCCAGGGAATGAGGGGGGTCATGACCCAGAGCCTGTGCTGTTAAACTCTGAAATCCACCCTGTTTGCTCTGAGGGCACACCTCCCCCCTGGCTCTTCCCAGCTGGAGATGAGTATGGCAAACCTGTCCCTGAAAGATTGGGATCCTTCTGGTTCTGGATTTGCACTCAGGGACTAACCCCTGTCCTTTCATGGTGCTGACCAGCTTCCTTAGCCCGCTTGGACAGTCAGGAACACCTCCACTCTCTCTTCCTTCTCTACTACATATGGACCAGCCTTCCCCTCTTCTCTCACTGGTATGTATCCAAATAAAATCCTTGCATTTTTAACCCTGTCTTGATGTCTGCTTCTCAGGAGAACCAGACTAACTAACACATTAAAGCTGATTAAAAGCAGAGCCTGGCAAGGCAAAGAACTATGTGTTTCATCTGCTGCATTTGGGACATAAGTGGGGAGGAGAGTGAGTTTGTATATCTGGGTTAGCTAATAGAGGCACCCAGGACTCTCAAGGGCACACAAGAAATTATTAACATTGGTA